TCAGTTAAAAAGCCACTTGTATTTTTCCACGTTCCCACTGGTGGGAAGCCAGTAATGCTCGATCTCCAAGTGGGACTTGGGGGCTCAGGGGACTATTTTGGCTAATTTTTTTACTAATTTAGAAGGAAAGTTGTCAATTAATTGCCATGATTGACTGAATTTGTCAAAAGAAAGAATATGTTAATCCTTTTCTTAAAATATGGATGTAACTGTTGGCAAGCTATGTGGATGACTGTAGCGTGCAAGGTAGCATCTCTGAAATCACATACGCCTAGCATCTAAGTCTTGATAGTGAGAGATATCAAAACACAAGTCATTATAGCTCCAGAAAAAAAATACAGTATCCTACAGTAACAAATAATAATTTAGGGTCATATTGTGCCGACCTTATTCACATTTAATACTACTGCATCATCTATTCTGTGGGAGTAGTTCCAGTGGCTTCAGTGGAACTCTTAATGGTGGGTGGGCTCGCATGAGCTGGGTCGGTGCAGTACAACCGTCTGTGTCCTCGTGAGAGTTAAAATGCCCAGATCGCCTGGGAACCGTGGGACAAATTCTCAGTTCTGAGTTCCACTGCTGTATGTGGCTTACCCTGGAGTATATGGACAAGTGGTTAGTAACTTTCTGCAATAGGTAAAAGAAAAAACGTAAACCAGCTTGCTCTTTTTCCCACCCTAAATAAAAAGGGTAAATCTTAGCTTTTGGTATAGAAACAAACACAATGAATTTGTAGAATGGAATAGAATAGAATAGAATAGACTATTCCAGTTGGAAGGGACCTCCAAGGATCACCTAGTCCAACTGCCTGACCACTTCAGGGCTGACCAAAAGCTACAGCTAAGGGCATTGCCCAAACGCCTCCTGAACACCCCCAGGCCTGGGGCATGGGGCACCTCTCCAGGAAGCCTGTTCCAGCGTTTGACCTCTCTCTCGGTAAAGAAACGCTTCCTAATGTCCTGTCTAGCTGTAAATAGAATGCCTTGAATTAAGAATATGTTCTATATTTTTGGTAGTTTGTGGCATTTCTAGAACAAAACAGAGAGGAATGTTTAAAAGGGGGGATAATTTTCATTCCCAGCAATCTAACAAATTCAATACAAGTTCGTAAAAAGCTCTCTTGACCCATCCACATTTTTCTGCAAAACAAATTTGGTTCAAAAGCTTCTCTGTTTTTCTGGAAATGTCGGATAGTGCTTGAAGAAGCCAGAACAATGTTTTGCTCAGAACATTTAAGAAACTAAATGAGTTTATTCCATGTAGGGGAATTAGAAATATTTTTATATTTTTTTTAAACATTTGTGTGCAAGTTCTTGCTGGCAAAGTAGAATGAAATACGATACTATCCAAAAGCAAAGAAATTAAATAATCTCTTTCAAAATTCCTTTCAATAGTCACCTCTAGGTTAGTAAGGAGGCTATGATCAGTTGGTCCAGAGGCAGCAGCTCTCCTGCTGTGAGCAACATACAACATCAAGGCTTCATGTCCATTACAAAGGGCATGTACAATACCGGATCAAATGGCAATGAAATTTGATCTAGATGGAAGTGTGAAATCGCAGCACATGTCTCTCAAATTACCCAGAGCGTATGGTGGTGTGTTTATGAAGGCTCTATTGTGGCTCTATGTGGGCTTACTGAGGACAAGTAGACCTGGCCTAATAAAACCTCTACTGCTACTGAGTAACTTCTAGGAGATTTTTAAACAAAATTTGAACAGCTGCATTGAGTTTGTAGTGGTTTTGCCATATGCTTGTTAAGTCAGATTTGCCATCTTGTAGGGACACAGCCTAAGGCAGAGGTAGAAAAGCATGCACAGCCAGTCACTGGGTGTTGTGGATACTATCATTTATTCAAAATAGGCCCCAAAGTTGAGGTTACCAACTTTTAAAGATACTTTTAAAGGTGTAGATCTAGGTACTTGGCTAAAAGCATGGGGAAAAGGGACATGAAATAGGAGTGTGATGTTAGTCCATGCTAACCATTTTCTATTTGTCTGTTTTGAGTTAAGAGATAAAGTTCTATTTTATTTCATCTATTTGGTCCATTTGGTGCTTCTAATTTATTAATTTATTGAGCATTGAATTGGGCATAATTTAGTTTGAGGTTTGTGATGTGAAGAACAATTAAGGCGAGAGTACAGTGATAAATTAAGCAGCTTGGGTTTAATTCTCTATAACTTTTACAGTCATTTTTACTGACACAAAATAAGCTAGCAGGTTTTTGCTAAATGGAGTAGACTAGACTTGAATATCTGTCAGTATAACACAAGTCCCAAATGGGTGTGAAATTCTACCATTATTTGTTTGTGATTTATAAATATTTTATAATGCTATAAATGGTTAAACGAAGTGGCATAGAATATCTGCTTATTACATTCGGAGACAACCACTTGAAGGTGGAAGTAGATACAAGTATGCTGGAGGACAGGATTTGAATTCAAAATTATCACAACAATAGAAATAATTAAAAAGATTGAATGCAGGTCAATAAAGAGAAGTGAAAGGTAACATACGCAGGAATAATCAGTTAAAAACAGGATGGGAAAACAATTGGCTTCATAAATCTGAAGGAAAAAATATGGATAATGGATCAGAGTTGAAGGCAGTTCAACGAAGTCATTAATTGCAAAAAAAAAAAAGTAAAACTGCACTGAGATCCCTCAGCAGGTCGGAAGCCTACAGCACATACTACATCATGTCTGTGTTTCACTCAGCATCAGTAAAGGCTTCACCTGCAGCTGAATGCCTAGTTTGGGGAACAGCCATTCATGAAGGAGTTGACTCCATTAGATGAGATTCCAGCAGGCAGAAGGATCAGAAGTGCAGAACAGCAAGGTGGAAAGAAATGCGATGGCAGTCTTGCCAGACACTAAGGACTGTTGCAGAGGAGAAGCAAATAAACTTCTGCACGCTCACGGCAAACAGCATGAAATGCATTTCCCTTGCTGTCCGTGTGGACTAGAGGTTATAAATTCCAGCAACAAATATTTAGACTGGAGACTAGGAAAAAAGTCTGAATGCAAGTACCACGAAGCTCCGGGTATGGATTGCCCAGGGAGACTGATGCCTTTCCAGCACTGCATGTTTGTAGGTTTGAGACCAGGTCAGGGGTGACATCGGGATATGAGGCTGGAGTAGAGGATTCCATTCTTTATTGGTGATTCCGTGATAAGGATCAAGGTCACAGAAAATCATGATGTAATCAAAACACCAATATCAATGATCAAAGCCAAATCTATAGAGTGGATTATGGTACAGTATATGTGCGTGTATAGCTCTTGACTCCAGACCAGCAAAATTTGGCCTGATACTTAACAGAAAAAAACCTGACCACAGACTGCATACAAGGCCTGGAGAGCCAAAACCACAGCATAGACAGGGAAGAAGAAAGGCAAGGAACATTCTGCAAAAATACAAACATTTTGTTTCAAAACAGTATATGTATACAGCGTAATGTCTTTCATAGCCATCAGTGTTTGTAAAGATTAGCTCGTCTTAGCAACCAGTTCTAAAAAGGGAGTGCAGGCTCACACAAACTTCATCATATCACATCCCGGAGGAAGTGATTTTGTTACTGTGCAGGGACTCCTACTGTATTCATTACAGCCAACAACATCAAAGCAGCGTGCAGCAGCATGAGATAGCATTTCTTTTTCCATAACATTTCCATAGATAGGACAGTATAACTAGTAATGCATTCCCTAAGGAGAAAAAAAATCACCCCTTGGTATTTTGGGGTTTAACATTTAAAAGCTCCATTTTTCTAGGATGTTCCATGACTGAGAAATGCAGGCAGCTGGAAATAGTTTCCTTCTGCATTAGTCTGCACTGCTGTAATTTCTGTCTCTTCACACATCTTTCTCAGTTTTAAGTTTGACCTGCATAATGTCATAGACATGTATACCATATATACTACATAAAGAAAAAAAGAGAATAACAGCTTCTATCACAGCAGTGTGATGGTATCTGGCACTAAGACGCCAGCAGAGGAACGCCACGCTCCGTATAACAGCGCTGGATGTCACTTTTCAGCTCTTGTTGTCCACATCTTTGGGTCTGACAATTACAGGAAAATACCGGTCTATGTCAGGAGAGCCAACGTTAGCGTTAATTACAACTGCTGAGATAATTTGTAATGTTTCTTTATTCTTTTGTTAAGTTTCCTTTTGTGAGATGCTAGGAACTGAAGTTTGTTGCAGAACTTTTGAATCCAGCCTGCAGGCCCTGATTTCAATCTTCATTTTTGTTAGTGGTGTGAGTATCTGTCAGAATGAAAATCAGTGTGCAATATAAATTGCACACATTCAAAGAAAGAAAATAAAATTGGGGGGGGGGGGGGGGGGGGGGATGAATATAACCTTCAGGTTATATTATTTGTAGACCACAGCACCCCCCAAAAAAAGAGGGCATGAGTTGAGAACC